CATATTACATTCATTTTCGTCAGGATTATTACACTCGAGGACAAACTCTACCAGAAATTGACAACAATCAGGATTACCAACTGGTGTATGCATCAGAGATAGGTGGATACACAGAGCTGATGTTTCAGAGACCACGTGATACCGGTGATGGCACTGATATACAGTTTGCGGTAAGGTTAAATCTTTATGTCTTGGAGGCTCTAGTTCAGTATTTGAGACGTAACAAACAGAGCGGGCTCTACGACCGAGCTATCGTGAATATCCTGGGGGAATCCGCTCCCATATAAAAAGGACGAGGGGTGCTCTTCGTGCCTTTCAGGGGTGAAAAGAAAACGGTTTTAGTACCTCTTAAGTATGACAGGGGATATTTGACAAACAGCTAATTTGTGACAGTTTTATGCTTTCATAACCTTTACGAGTAAACGTTATTCGAAGCAATCGCCTTTATCGCTATTTGAAATTATGAGAGTGTCAGTTAATGTGTTGAATTGTTGAATCTCTCTGAGGGGTGAAAACACTTTCGAGCCACGCCCACAAAACAGGACCTTGGTACCTCTTAGGGGTTCTTTTCAAAATTTCCGATGAGCACCCCCGTCCTCTTTATTTAGGAGTCCTCCCTGGAGTAAATATATCACTACTGATTCCTTTGATCCATACGGAGAATTGACTAATTAAATAAATGAAAAGAAAGAAATTGAGAAATGCCTAATTGAAGGTTTACCCAACCGAGCGGTAACTGCGAATGGCCAACTACGAATTTGCGTACGGTAAAGTATTGTATCCTTTTCATTTGTGCGTCATGAAAGCACAACTGATTTTTTTCTCTTTCTGTTAACAGGTCGAAGAAGAGAAGTACATAATCTGGGCCTACGGTAGTGATGACACCAGGAGCCCTAATGACTTTGATCGACATGCTGCAAGGGGCGTTGGTGACATGCAGCTTGTTATAGTTGACAAACCTCCTATCCCTACCAAGGCCGCCGCAGTATCCTTGCTGCATTCATGCATTAATACAATCTTAATTGCAGCCGCAATAGTATTCTTAAATGTTTTGGTGATGTAAAATGTTGGTAAAAAAAGAATTAATTAAATTTCCACCGTTTTTTACAAGACACGGGAAGCGTTGTCGTAATGTAAGATAAAAGAAAGGTCGGCTGACTCCTTAGCAAAACCTTGATTGCTCAAGGCACCCATTAAGACCACAGCCTGACCAGCTAAATTAGTCATGTAGTAAATTATCCTAAACACAGTCTTTTGTAATAAGACGTCGTTTAGAAACGAATAGTAGAGGAGGAAGATACCAAAGGTGTGGCCTTTTTTCTCTTTGTAATTTTATTTTATTTTTTTACCATTTTCCATTTTCTGATTAATATCATATTTTTGTTGTTGGTTATGTATTGACGACTCGTGAGCATTTTGTTTAAATAAAGAAGTTATAACAGTGGTGTCTGACTTACATATTTTCATCACTTTTAAATAAGTCATTTCCGTGTTGCTTTTCACCTCTGTTTCAAAACGAGTTCAGTTCTGGTGCACAACCTTCACATGAAAATGAGTTGGATTTTGCAAGACAATGAACGGGCAAGAAAATCTCATTTCCATATAAAAGGTTGTGCACCAAGACTCCTTTTGAGTCTTTTGAAATAGAGGTAAAGGCAAATCAGAAATGGCTAATTACCAAACCTCATTCTCGTTCCCATAGCCCTCTTCGATTCTCTTAGCCAGCGCGGCCACAAAGGGCTCTGCGGACATAGGATTTTCGAATTGATTCGAATTTTTTTGATTGGCTGTTTGAAAACAAAGAAATCTTGAACGGAAGTTAAAATGTTCGCGCGGATTGCAGTCGCGAAAATATGAAACAGCTGTGGTCAGCTATGTTTAAAATGAAGGACCATTAGACAGCTGACCTGCAATTCGTTTATCTTCACGGTCTGGTCTCGCATCAAGGCATTTAAAAGTGAAACAACGAAAAGAAACGATTCAGTTGCTCTATGCCACGAGTCAAAGAAAAAGGGCAATAACTGGAAAATCAATGACTGTCGGTAAAAAACAAAATTAAATAGTCTCTTTCTTTAAAATCACAATGTTCCTTATCGCCTCTATCTGTTTCACTCTGACGAAAACATTCTCCAAATTGATACCACTTAAGGTCTGAGATAAAGATTTCTCGAATCCTGCCTCGACGGCCGCCATTGACATTCTCCGAAACATTACGACTGCATACATAAAGAACGGAAGTCCAAAAATCTAGGACTGGGAAATCCTTTGTCTCCAGCCTTCGTTTCTCGCGCCAAGGCCGCGCCGGCTAAGAGAAGCGAACAGGGCTATAGGAACGGGAATGAACAAATCTTTAAATACCTCGTTCCCAGGCTAAGCCCTGTTCACGTCTGTTATTTGGAGCTCAAAAGAGCTTGAACCCTACTTGCTTAAGCTGATACAACAAACCACCCATTCAATTTAAGTTTAGGAACACGGACCTTATTCACGCAAAGTATAATCCACAACGCAACGAACTCTATGGTCAGCTCTGCTCTTGCAGCGTTAGCAATAACCTCAAACAGTAAATTTACTTTCCAGTGGTATCCATGGAAAATCATCATGTCTCAGCTCAATCCGTGTTAATATGCTTCGGAGCATTTCGGAGCTAGTATGTTCTGAAGTTTCCGATTTCCTGTACCTTTTTGAATGTCTATGCGAGGCTTACTGCTTTTTCAGATTGGTAAAATTTCCACTCAGATCTGTTGTTAGTTTATCGGCTGCAGTCGAACAGTAACTGGAACTCTAAAAAGGGAGTCATCTTATTTCCCAGCCAAACCCTTGAGAGTGGGTCATTATACATATTTTGATACCTTTTGGCTGGTTTTAATAAGAGTAACGCGTTGTGTTAGGTTCTTTCTTTATTAGCGTACCCCCGGTGATTTCTCTTAGAATCGAACCTTCAATCAAAGATTATAACTAATGCATATTTGTTACGTCACTTACGTCCGTCGAATTCAACCCGACCCAGGTTCCACACTAGACAACGGTAGCCCACAACAAGCTCACATGGTTTAAGGGCCTCTTTCACGATAATGCGCCTGTACGACTTTGAAAGACACTTGAGGGTCCATTAGAAGGTTTTTAACCAATAGAAATTGAACGGCTTGGTACCAGGCGCCACCCAGAATAATCAGAGATTTTTTTCGTATATTTTCATAATATCCCTTTGTCTTTGGAAAGTTTGATCCTTGCTACGGAACGTGCTGCTTCGTGTACCTCCCCTCGAGGACATCAAAAATTTCTCTACAGTCCTTCATATGCTTTACTGGACCCTACAAAAATGGCAGGTAATTTCTTTAATACCGTCACTACAACTTTCACACCATCCCTCACAAGGTCAATGGAGAACGATTTTCCTCGGAGAAGGCAACTTATATCATTGGGCCGTCGGTCTATTAAATCAAATGCTGGACATGCGCAGAAGTTTGAAACAGGCCCCTAAATGAAACAGTAACTGGAGAGCTTAAGCAATGACGACGGCGACCCCGCATACAACGCCTAGTAAAAAATTAATATATATTCTACCTTCGAATTTAGCAATTGTCTAGATCTGTTTACTCGCCTATTGGTCATACTTGCTAAATATGTAACGCCAGCGATTAATTCCAAATGAAAATACGTAAATTAGCTGCCGTCGTTCCCGTTCTCCAAAAGACGCAGAACTTAGTCATTTCACGTTGTTGTTTTGTAGAAGGCAAAGAAATGTGCAAAGATTTGTAACGCACATGCACAGCAATTGTTCCACTCATTGAACCTTTTGTTTGTTGGCGTTCTCGCGCGGTGCCATGGCCGTCGTGGTTTGCTTAAGCTCTCTGCACAGGCACGCAGTGACGGGAGTAAAGGGATGCCCTATTTGCAGACAATAACATCATAGAAATCGCGCTAAAATCATGATTAAGTGTGGAAAAGAAAAATAAATTGCAAATGCGAACGAGCGAAGTTTTAAATTCAAACCCAGCAAAGGACATAACACACAATCTTTGCGGTTTTCCCGATTTATAAATCGGTTTTGATTTCAATATCTGAGTTTGCCGACAGACTTCAATATACGCAATTAAAGAGAGGCTGGTTGAAACATAAACAGAGTGCTTATAGTTAAATCACAAAAAAGTGGACATAAAATATATTGATCGTGCGACAGACTCAAGACAGGTAGGCGTAACTCAAGTGCTGGCGTTCATTCTGTTGAAGATGCGACACTATTTAATCCATCTTGTAATGGCTCGTGTTCTTCGGATTTTTCATTCAATGCTCTATGTGGTCTCCACAGAAAGTTGCATGTATTCTAACAAAATCGCACTCGGTTACGAAGGAAATTACAATGTTTCGTACAATCTCAATGCATCCTCTGATACGCTAGAGTTTTTGCTGGAAGCAAGAGCAACAGGGTGGGTCGGTTTCGGTGTTGCTGAAACTGCGCCAAATAACATGAGCGACTACGATGTAGCTGTAGGAGGTGTATTGAGTAATGGAACAGGTTACCTAAAGGTAAGCTGATTACCAATAAAACACTAATGAA